CAATTTATTATATTCTTCTCGGCGTTCCTTTTCGTTCAATATTTAATTTTATTTTATCAATTATTTTTATTCTGAAAGATCTAACGTTTATTATGTTTTCAGTAGTCTCTCTCTCTCTCTCTCTCTCTCTCTCTCTCTCTCTCTCTCTCTCTCTCTCTCCTTCTCTCTGTGTTTCTCACTGCGGAAATGGGATTTCCGCTTGAAACTTTAACCCACCTATCTGCGCGACTTTTCCAAACGACACGCCATGCAGTCTCGAGATGTTTTGAGAAAAACTTGCACCGTAACGAGACGCGACCGTTATATCCATTCCTATTTGTTTCATATCGAGAATTAGGGAATTCTTGACTCTCAGGTTTTGCCACGTGAGAGACGCGGATAACAAGATGGTTGCCCTCGCTTAATTCTGGAGTGGCCCTTGCGGTTGAAAATGCAGCAGTTGAAATGAAATTTTCGCTGTGAGCCGACCGAGTTTTCGCGGGCTCCGAAACGTCCGCGGTAACGATGACGCGCTTCGCGTTTCGCTACGTTGTTACATAAGTTTTCTCGGCCTCTGTATATTTATTATCTCTCGTGTCCATTAGGAAGATTACACTGTGGACCGCTGTGACCCATTTCTAGGAGACGTAAAAGTCGGACGAGTATTAAGATGGAGGCGCGTCCTATCTGATAATCCACTCGCGATAACCGGCGCGTTCCGAGAGACGTTCCACCTTCGCGGGCCGCGAAATATATTAACGCGCAATTAAGTACAGAGACACACACAGGCTAAATAATTACCCGGTAACTTACGATAATCGGCGACTTAAGGCGCGCTCGCATTCGCGCGGAACCATCGTCGCCGATCGCGCTGATAATTCGATATTTTATTGTTATTGGGGGTATATATCGCGATATATATGTATGTGTTATGTGTACACGCCGTGTCGCCGATCGCACGGATCCTGCTCACTGAATTCATTATAGGAGAGAAAATCAATTTTTCGCGCTTAATCCCGGAGGAGCGATATAATCGAACGGCCGATCTTCTTCGTTTGTTGCAGATCGTACTGAACTCGATGCACAGGTATCAGCCGAGGATACACTTGGTCCGTTGTCGACACACCGACGACAACAACGTGCACATCACCGACCTCCAGAAGGAGGAGCACAAGACGTTTATCTTTCCGGAGGCCATTTTCACCGCCGTCACGGCGTATCAGAACCAGCTGGTGAGTCCAGACGTCTCGTCGAATAACAGTCGATTATATAGTGTAGCGTTAACTCTCGACAAGCCGAACCGCTCGGAAAGAGAGACCGCCAGAATATCTGCATCGCGAGATTGAGGCCACGGCTCTCGACATAGGGAATTAGTTCTTGAGGCCTGCAATTTTTTTCGTGTCGCTTAAAAAGAAAGATCTTCAGTTCATCGTGTATTAAAGGCTCACAGAAGTGCAATCTTCTTTTATTTCTTTTACTAAAAATGTGTAATAATTTGATAATAAAATATTAAAATCAGCAGCAACTTTATAAGATTTTATACTTTATTAAGATTTCTGTAAATACACGGAAAAAACGATTTTGCTGAAAGATTTCAAAATTTTGCTGGATACAGATCTGAAAATAATTTTATTAGCCCATCAAAGGGCTAGCACTGCTGTTTTGATATTCTAACAATCAGTTTAATCTTCCAATAAAATTATTTTCAGATCTGTATCAAGCAAAAATTTTAAACCTTCCAGCAAAATTCAACAAAATTTCTTTCCGCAATAAAGCATTTATTCGTAATTATATATATAATAATTATATTTCTTCCTTTAATATATACCTAAAATCTTTTTCTCCGCGTTTTAATTGTATTTAAAACTTTAAAAAATATATCGAATTTAATGGAATAATACGTTTTGTATTCTTGCAGATAACAAGATTGAAGATCGACAGCAATCCATTCGCCAAAGGTTTCAGGGACTCGTCGAGACTCACCGACTTCGATCGGTAAGTTTAAACTCTCGAGGGGAACGGTTAATTTTTTCTCGATTCTATATATATATTCATAGAATCGAAAATGGATTGAATCAAGGATTTTCGGCTTAAAATTCTCGCCGGTGTCACATCGGTAATTGATCGAATAATAATTCACGAAACTCGATTAAAATATGCCTCGGTCGGCTAGCAGCTAATCTGTCTGCGGCGCAACCGTCTCTCTCCTCCCGGCCCGGGAGTTCCAAACCGTCCGCATGGTCCGTCCCGGCGCGAACGCTTTTCTGCATAGCGGTGTAACGAGCAATCATAGCGTCCATTTATAACGGCCGGACGTTGATCGAGCGGCCGCTAAATTAAAACCTATATTTTCGAATGAAATATCTATAACTCCCGTGTCGGCACGGCGCCGACGTCCTACTGGAAGGGGTTAATTAAAACGCGATTAGAGTGTCAGCGCATACATTATCCCCGGCCGACGAGATTTCCTCGCGATTTCTTCTCACGCGAATCATCCCCGGTTTCACACGAACCGGATTAATTGCCCTCGAAGAGCAGTGTTCTTCGGACAAAATTGCGCGATCGAACGACGAAGACGTTCCGTGACGTGCGATAAAGGCATGATTATTATCGGTCGGCTCTTGAAATCGCGCCGCTCGATCGAAAGCGCGGCTCCTTTTACTTTTACCTTTTTTCACATCCCTTTATCCTTTCCTAATATTTATTTTCTTCGTAATATTACACCTGCGCGTTTCAACCACAGCCATTCCGCGCCATTTTATATTTCCGGGACGGGTTTTTGCGCGACGCGTCCGCGCGGGGCCGCGCGCGCTTCTCGCGCATGATCGCGCATCTCTCGCATATCGCGAGAAGGATCCGACCTATCGACACACATGCACGCGGCTTCTCTCTCTCTCTCTCTCTCTCTCGATCGTGGCGCGTCACGGCCGATCATTACATCCCATTAGAACGTCGGCACCTTAATCGCGCGCGCCGCGCCGGCAAAATTATCGCTTAGATCTCTCGCGCGTTCGAGAGAGAGAGAGGCGGAAATTTACAACAACGTTAAACGCCGAACGAAGCGAAGCTCGGGGTTTTCGGAACGATGAAATGGACGCGCGCACGCGGCGTCCGATTCCGAATTATCCGCGATCATCTATCTGCATGAATGACGACGACGTGCACCTGCCCGCATTCCTTCTCTCTTTCTCTATCCGCCACTTTCCGCATCCACGCGGCTACAAGGCGGACACGCGCACGACAGGGGGAAAAATACATACATTTATGTATATGCGAATGCATATATTCTTTTTGTTCAATACCGCCGTCGTCGCGAGATCGCGTCTTTGATGCCGACAATGTGTCGCGTACTTTGTTAACCGGTGACTGCAGTATACGTACAATTAATCGATTATCAACCTTGTTCGCGCGTCATCGCGACTGCATAAAAAAGGATGTTTCTTTTATTTCTTTTTTTGCCCGATGTAATTTGTCAGTATTTCAACGGAATATTCAGACCTTTTGATCCTCGGGATTCAACGGACGTGTGAGAAATCATTTATATTTTTCACGGAAGAAATTAATTTGGATCATAGTAATTAATTATGTGACTTATGTTCTTTGCAGTCTAAACTTACGTTACATTCCAAAATCTTTAGATCAATAAATTCAAGGATTACGTAGGTATTTAAATTGTGAAGGACGTAAGTCATAATTCAGACAATGGTAGAATATAATTTAAAAAGTCGAGGATTAAAATTTTTGAAGTTTATAATTTCAAAATGCCAACGCGTATGATTTAGAGATACGTAAGAAATCAAATATATAGATATTAATAGAAGAAACAGAACATTAAAATAACTTAGCATGGATAATCGATTAATTTCACTTAAAAACTCGAAACGAGTGCAAGACACGAATGCGTCTCTCTTCGCATTTAGACATTAAAAAAAAAATTGAGGATTTAAAATTTTTTGAAATTAATTTCAACATGTGTGAAACATGTGTGATTTAGAGATGTGTAAAAAATAAAATATATAATAATATAGCGAAGATAAAATGTGAAAACAAATTAGCATGGATAATCGATTAATTTAGCGTACAGCAACTCGAAATGGGCGCAAGACGGATGCATTATTCTGCTTCGTATTGTTATAAACTACGCCACCGTATCAAGATTGACGAGTTTTACGTTCGATTTTCGGGCTTCGCGCCGTCGAGAGAGCCTCGCGTTTAAAAATTGATTAGCCCGCCCCGAGAGGGAGAGGCCGGGGGCCCCTCGGTCGCGGGGTCTCGGATTCGGTACCATATTTTACGAAAAACCGTCTGGTGCCCTCGCACCGCCCACCGATCCTCAGAAATATATTAAGGAACGCGGCGCGCGTTAAGCGAGGCAGGACTCTCGTCACGCCTCTTCCAATTTGCACGTGATCGCAGCTGGGCCGCTTGTGTGGATGCCACTTTCACGAAAACTCTCCCGGTTTCGGCGGCGAGGGCACCTATATCCCCCGCGCCGGATCGTTTCGCGATTAATTAAGCTCATATTTCAGAACGCCGCCGCTCGTAACTCGTGCAATTAATGCGACCGTGTTTTTTTTTTTCGGCTCCGCGCCGAAAAATCCGCGAAACTCGGGCGCCGGGAATACACGGGCCGCACGGGCACCGTGGTATCGCTAATGATCCTCCTCGATCGGCACCGAAAACCCTAACGGCGCATTTAAGTGTCGCGATTACCGCCTCATTACGATCGGATAAACAATTTAATTGCGTTTCGCCTCTCACGGAGCAGGTGTCTCACGACAGGTCTCTCCTCGACACGAAGCGATCTCGCTCGATCGCTAAAGCGATGGGAAGAACAAATAAAGAAAGAAAAAAAAATGAAAGCCTCCCGAGAAAGGGAGGAGCAGACAGAGGAAGGAAGGAGAGAAAGAGAGACGCAGTTTATATTAATACCCTAAGACCAACTTAATTCCCGGAGAACATGCACGATATACTTGAGATAACGCGGATAACTTGAATACATAGAATAATTTCGAGCGGAAATTTGTTCGTGCGTAAAGCCTTAATTTTCAGGTATTATAATTCTCTCCCCGTATCTGAGGACGGCTGTTTTATTAAATCTCGAGAGCTTAATTTAGAATTATGTTCCTCACATAATTCAACCAAAAACAAAAAAAAAACACGTCAACTCTCTTCTCTCTGCGTATTATGAAGCCCGAGTTCCTATACATATATATCTTGCATTTTCTCGCGAGTGATGTACTTCCGTTACAGCAAATGCATGGTCAAATAGACGCGACATTGAGCGAGCATTAACCTAACACGGTCTCTTCAAGAATTACGTAATGTTTATTCGCGATTAAATCGGCAGAAAGAGTGCAGGACGAGGCTGACTGAAACACGAAGAAGAAGTCTGAAACACGGAGCGAAGAACGAGAAGCTCGCATTAGGGGGAAAGGGGAGGGGGGAGAGAGGGAAGAGACGACTTTATTGGGTGTCCGTTATCGATTCGCGGACACGCCGTATATACGGGTCGATTTGCATAAAAACCTTGCATCGCGATCCCCGAGAGATCGCCGCGAGTCGACGCCGTTAACAATTTAGTGGGCGTTGCTCGCGCGTCGATGCGCGGCTCGGCTACCGGCCCGTGTGTCGTTCTTACTTATTAAATGAGGCCGAACGGCCCGATAACCGCGCCTCGCCGTGCAGGCGAGGAGAAGTCAAGTCCACGCGGGGCGCGCGCGAAGAGGCGATCGACCGAAGAAAAACCCACGAGCTGCATGGCCAGCGGCAACGGAAGGGGAGGTCCAGCGAGCAGGGGGGAGGAGGGAGGGGCGGGGGGTTACCGATAAAAGTAACGCGGCTTTTAATTACGGGCCGATTTCAGCACCGTCGTCCCGCTGCGCGCACCCTTGGAGCGAATATTATTGAAGCGCACCGATGCGCTCCTCTCCTGCGTTTATTGTCAAGTATGCGCATTGGATTATCGTCTCTCGCGTGTATATATATATATATATATATATATATTTCTTTTTTCTGCTGCAGCTCGCGTCCCGCGCGACTCCCCGGCCCGCGGTCGCGATTCTCCGCGCCCCGTCCGCGCCGCCGCGCCGGGGCCGGCGAGGCCGGTCGTTAAAAAATTAAGTCGCGCGGAGCGCGTCCGGCAAAAACACGCGAACTTCTCGTTTACGATTATTAATAGCCGAAGCGCGCGATCTTCCCACTCGCGCGAAACCGTGCTCGCCGCCGCCGCCGCCGCCGCGTCGCTCGGGCGCGGGATTTGCGCGTGGCGCGCGGCAGAAGGAAGTTCCGTGATGGATCGGGCCGTATACGTGCGATATTTTCTATGTACGAGGTGTGTATGTGTGTGTGTGTGTGTGCCACCGCCCCCGGGACGGTGTATCAAAGCGAATTTATGCCGCTTCTCTATTAAAAAGAGGCGTGTGCGTGGGAGGTCGGTGGCGCGGTCGGAAAACGGTCGCGGGTCCGAGGATCGCGAGAATGCGACCACCGAAGGTCGCGGATGAATTTATGGTAATGGTTCTCCGTGGCCTCTCCGTGAATGCTAAAATCCTTGGTCTGTCCCTAAGATCTCTAAGAGCACGAGTTAGAGGTCGTTATTTTTCTCTACGAATTACTCTCGGATTTTAGGAGGTCCTGTGTGCCCCCGAACCTTGCGAGCATAAAGGACCTTATATTGCTTTTTGTTCGCCATATCCTCCAACAAAATCACGGTGTTACCGTCGTGCCACGTTTTTGGATACTTGCAGTATCTCCGAATTTCTTTAAATTTTTAACAATATTCTAATTTTATCTAATGAAATTGATTATTGAAATCAGCAACAATTATATAACATTCTTCCCCAAAATATACTTGTATTCCCGAATTTCTTTAAATTTTTAACAATTTCCTAATTTCATCTAATGAAATTGATCATTGAAAAATCAACAATGACTGTATAACAAGCTAATTCGCCATCTGACAGTGGGTATAACGCGAGATCTTTGAGCGGTTC